ATACTCCCTTTGGCGCCCTGGAAGTCGTGTGCCTATTCTACGGAGGTTCTACCGTTTTGGTAGCATGAATCTCTTGATCTCCGCTGGAACTACTGTGGCCTACCTCTCCTCATTGGCTGTTCTCATAATTGATGCTGTCGTGGGAACTTCATCAATGAGCAGTAGCACGACATACTTTGACTCTGTGGTATTCCTTACTTTGTTTATTCTGGCGGGTCGATTTATCGAAGCATACAGCAAAACGAAAACTGGAGATGCAGTTGCATCGCTTGGCAAGTTGAGGCCTTCCGAGGCATTGCTGATTGTCAATAACCGCGCTACCGAACAAAATGATGTTGGAGCTATCTCTAGCGAAGATGAGATTCAGAGGATCAATATCGAGCTGCTGGACATCGGTGATATTGTTAGCATACCCCATGGAGCTTCACCCCCTGCTGATGGTGTGGTTGTCGACACCAACACTTATCAGTTCGACGAAAGCTCACTGACAGGAGAGTCACGCCCTGTGAAGAAGTCTGCTGGTGATCCCGTTTACACAGGGTCTGTGAATGTCGGTCAACCCGTGAAGATCAAGGTATCCGCTGTTGGGGGAGCATCGATGCTGGACCAAATCATTGCCGTGGTGCGTGAAGGCCAGAGCAGACGTGCTCCTTTGGAAAGGGTTGCGGACTTACTCACATCCCACTTTGTTCCCATAATAACGCTTATAGCTGTATTGACATTCGTCATCTGGCTTGTGCTGGGTGTTTCTGGCGCCTTGCCAGATGACTACCTTGATGTTCCGCATGGTGGCTGGGCCTTTTGGAGCTTGGAGTTTGCAATCGCTGTGTTCGTGGTTGCTTGCCCCTGCGGCCTGGCGCTTGCTGCTCCTACGGCGCTCTTTGTTGGCGGAGGCCTTGCTGCCCGACACGGTATACTGGTCAAAGGTGGGGGGGAAGCTTTCCAGGAAGCGAGTCGCCTTGACGCCATTGTATTCGATAAAACCGGTACCCTAACGGAAGGAGGAAGCTTGACAGTTTCTGACCATAAACCGCTCATTACGGGCTCTGAGGATTTGCAAGTAGCATGGTCGCTTGCTCGAAAATTGGAGGAAAGCAGCAATCACCCGATTGCTCATGCGGTTTCAGCCTTCTGCAGCGATATGGAGTCAGCTAAAATACTTAGCTCTGATATCGAAGAGCGGCCCGGACAGGGAATGAAAGGCAAGTTCACTGTGTCTCTGGAGGACAAGACCGACCAATCGAAAGGAACAGCCCAGTACGAAGCAGCCATCGGCAATGAACGTCTCCTCCAAAGCCTGACCTCACCTCATTTCGATGACTCCCAACTTTCCGAATTTCTCTCAACCTACCAAGCATCAGGCAAATCTACTGCGATATTGTCATTGCGTAAGGTCAGCCCAGGGTCTTCAAATGACTCCTACTTCACCCCAGCAATCGTCTTCGCAATTTCGGATTCAATCCGACCAGATGCTGCTCAAGCAATCGCACAACTCCAAAAGCGCAAAGTCGATGTATATATGTGCACAGGGGATAACCAGACCACCGCGCACGCCGTCGCCGACATGGTAGGCATCCCCCGATCCAACGTCATGGCCAATATCATGCCCGCAGGAAAAGCGGACTTCGTCCGTCAAGTCCAAGACGGCATATACCCCCCAAGATCCGACTCGGAAGCCGAGAGCCAGAAAAACGAGCAAGGCACACGGTCCATCGTAGCCTTCGTCGGTGACGGTGTGAATGACTCGCCTGCTCTCGCGGCTGCAGATGTCAGCATCGCCATGGCATCCGGCTCGGACGTCGCCATGAACTCTGCAAGCTTTATCCTCCTGAATTCTGAACTCGACACTATCCTCCAATTAGTTGTACTTAGTCGTCGGGTGTTCAACCGCGTCAAGATGAACTTCGGTTGGGCCGTTGTTTATAACCTCTGTCTTGTACCGGTTGCCGCCGGGGTGTTTTACCCTATTGTCAATGGCCATGAGATGAAAACCATCGGGGGCGAGACCGTTATGGTTGATAAGCATTGGAGGCTGAGCCCCGTCTGGGCTGCGTTGGCAATGGCTTTGAGTAGTATCTCTGTGGTCTGCAGCAGTCTTGCTTTGGGGATTGAAAAGAGGACTATTAAGCGACTCTTTGGTATGGATAAATGAACAATTGTCTATATGGGTATACTGGATCCACCACAATCTATGGGTGGTTTTGTGGCGTTGGGTGTTTTATAATGTATGTCGGTCTATATGATGCAGGATTCGTTGATGAACGACTACGTTATATGATTTCATGCCAATTGTGACAAAGGCATATTTCTCAATATTATTGCTCTTACGTTTTCACTCTGACTTTGTTTTCAGTATAGCTCATAATATCAGCACTAAACTATTATGCAGATACTCGCAGGCGACCTGAGTGCAACTTAGTAGAAGTTTGATAGTTACAAAGGTCAAGCATCAAGCTGATACCATACATAAAATCAAGAATATCTTGAAACTATCCACACCCGCTGACCGGGACAGCAATCTAAAGCATCAACCATCCTCCCCCCACACCTCAGCAATCTTTTTACTAAGCACCTTGGCTACCTTCTTCCTCCCCACCGCTGAAGACAGCCTATCAGATACCATAGTCTCCTTGCCCTTCTGGTCTAACGCCTCAAAGGCCTGTATAAAGGCCTGGGGAGTGGGCCACCGGCGTTGGATCTCAAGGGCCTTGTCGCCCGTCACCCCGCGTGTGCACATGAGCATTTTCAGGAATACATCGCGGAGGGAGAGAGACTCTGATTTCGAAGCCAAGGCGGCAAATGTGGGGAAGGTCACAGCGTATGTAACAGAGGGGGTCTCAGCTCGAAGTTGCGTAAGAGCATTGAGATATGATTGCGAGGAAGACAGCTGGCGACTAGGTATTAAGCTGAGGGTATGAGATGGAGGTCTATCTTGTGAATCAGGGGCGGCGTCCTGGGTATACATTTTCCGGAGAAGAAAGGTCATACGGGCCAGATAGCGAATGGTATCGTCCAGGTTCTTAGTTTTCTTGACGAAGTAGCCGTTCACGACCTGTGTGGAGGCGATAGCAGACGCGACCATTTCCTGATATTTTGTTGCGATGGCGCAGTTAAGATCGTAGCTGATGGCGGATTCCTCGATGAGATAGATGACGTTTTTCATCCCCGACCGATGGAGACGGAACTTTTGCTCGTGGAATCGGCCGTCTTTGATGGAGCAGAGGAGATCGTCGAGTCGTTTTCGCTCGACGATGTAGTCCAGCATGACCTCGTCGCCTTCTTCGCCGTACTGCGAGAGGAATTTCGGGTCGTGGAATTTGGCTACCCACATTGCGTCGCCGAGCTCTAGTGCACGCACTTGTGCGCTGATGCCCTTTTTGCTGAGCTCGTTGGAGATGTAGTCTCTGTCCCTCTGGGTTCGGACTTCTCGGTTGTCCAGGACCAGCTGGACGGTGAAGCTGTTGGGGGGTAGGGTGATGGGTGTTACTGTGGTGTCGTCGGTGTCGTTTCCTTGGTTTATTGGAGGGTTGAGGAGTGCTTCCAGGTCTTCATTGCTTTCTTGACGGTGAGATCCGGGGCCGCTTTTATTGGGGTCTTGAGCACCGGATGTGTCCTGGGTATGTCAGACTCCTGGTATACATAATTATGGTATTGGCCCCTTACCGGTTGATTTCCAAAGGATAGGGTGGTTTGGTTTTCGGGAAGGGTTTTTCTGATCCGCTTTGCAACCTCCCATCCTTCTTCTGTAAGAGCGTACTTTTTCAAGGGACGGCCGTGCTCATAAACTAGGTCTTTCTGGAGGAGTGTTTTCATCGAGCTCCACGCGGTAAAGAACTTGCCTGGGTCGCTTGGTGCCGTAAATGAGCTGTCACAATATGGCTCTGCCCTTTCAATCAATTGTGCTTTTGTTAAGCCCTGAGAGGAATTTTCGCCGAGAGTGGCCAGACCTAGCAGAAGTGCGTAAGGTCCGGACCGTAACGCTGGCACATAAGGTCTTGCTTTCCGGGGCTTTTTCGCCGGTTGGCTCTCTGATGCACCTTCGTCTGACTGTCTCTTACCGTTTGCTGCAGTTGCTGTTAAAGGAAACCCGTGGAGTGCATATCAGAGATAGGAAACGCACAGTTGTTGGGAAGCTCAGGCATTGGAAGGCCATTCTCCGCACAGTGAGCCGTTAATTTCTCAGTTAATCGGTCACATAATTTAGGGCCAAGGCCATTGAGCTGCAGGGCCTCGGACGGATGTTGAAAGACTAAGGGGCATGCTTTCATCGACTCGTAGGCCTTTTTGTATCTGAGCAGAGCGTATCAGCAGTGGACTCTCATCAAGCGAAACGCGGTTATACCGACACAGTCTTTCCTTTACTGTTACGTTCCTTTGCTTGGTCCAGCCATTCTTTAATCCACCCCAAGAAAAGGGGGTTCGCACATGTTTCGCTCATAGTTCCTGGACTGGCTGGACGCTAAGCAATGCAGATGTGGTTCGGTGCTTTCTACGCCAAAGTGGCACCTGAGATAGCAGCTAAGAAAAGGATACCAATGCATGCATCTTCAGCACTGAGAAACTATCACACTGTCATGCTTTGCCCTCCAAAATGGAGGCAGTAGTGCGTCGGGGGAAAGATGAACACAACGCGCTTCGATTTCACGCGTACTTCCATTTTGGGATTTAAGTGTGGCTTGCAAACGGGTTTATGTGGCGGTGCAATGCCGTCGTCCTACATCGCTGCCTGATATATATGGCACTAAATGACATCAGATAATAGATTAAAACTTGAACCATGCATTAGACTCCACTTATGGAAAAATTGCTACATAAAGTGTGATACTAGTAATTACTCCGTGCCATGCAGCAGGACCCAGTCTGCCAAAGTCCCGCAGATCGCGAGGGCGCTTAAAAGAAAGGATGACGTCATTCTCACGGCATCGGATCTATAGATCATGACTGACTTACATAGCATCCATGCTGCCTTCTCTTTTTTAGCATTGACCTTTTATGGCATTGATGGTTAGCACCATACAATATGTCAGGACAAAGTTTCACCGACTCCCTGCCAGCCCCTACAGCCGGCTGGGACAATGGCCCGTCAAAACTTGAATTGAAAGAGAGAGAGAAACAAAGCCAGCTTGAAGCATTTGGTCCTACAGATAGTCATGCTCTTTCCCAGATCGATCACGATGAAAAGGGCCTGGCCCAGAAAGCCGGCGATACCGACGAGGTGACAGATTTGGGATGGCAACACTCCCCTCAAGGCCGAATCGTGGCAGGCCTATCGAATGAGGACCTTTGGATGCTCATCAGACGGTTCAACAAGGTATGCTATTTGGTACTACTTGATATTCCAGTATTGACACAGGCCAGCAAATATACTATGTGAAAGCCGTCCCAGATGCCCCGTTACAAAGGTTGGATCTCAATCGTGCCGAAGATGAGCATTTCTCCCCAGATAAATTGCGGGCGACCCTTGAGCGTTTCTATACGACAATTGTTGTGTCGTTGGCTGCATTCTACAAGCATATTATCAGGTTACGCTCGTGGAGGGAGCTCGGCGGACAGGGATGTTTTGCGGAGTATGCTTTTCTCTAAATTGTACGTGACAGCTTTCTGGGGGCTGACGGTGTGCGGTTTTAGGTATATTTTATTGCGTGGCTCCTGGATTTCCTAGTGCCTACAATTTTATGCTTTCTGATTGCACTGGTCGTTTACCCTCCATGCAGGACATGGCTGTTCCCACCTGCTCCTATTGCTCTCGTTGATAGCAATACCGGAGGTGTACAGAAGCCCAAAGCTGGTGTGCTAGGCTCTCATGATAGTGTCACCGGCGCACCGGAGAAAATGAAGGGTGAGGCTGCTGAGCAAGAGGCCAGTAACTTAATCACAAGCGCAGCCACTGTGGCGGTGGGAAGTGTTGCTGGTAAACATGACCAGGGAACACCTGAAGGTGCTCCCATGGAGGACTCAGTTCCAGATGCCATGCATACTGTCTCGGAAGCAGCAGATGCGCAAACAGCAGCCCACGGGGGAGTACCAGATAGTACTCACGATAAGACAAGGGAGCCCATGAAGGAGACAGTACTCAACGGCGCAAACTTAGGCATGCGTATACTGAGTGATATCACTGATATTTACGAGAAGCTTGGGAAGTAAGTCTAGTCCGCTACAAAGCTGAGCGGAGTGTATCTCTAAGACTCTAACGTGGGACTGATAGTGCCCTGTCACCAACCCCACCATTTTCATCTACTACCCCATATGTCCGGTTGGCAAGCATTTTATCTCTTGGGTTACTCGGGTCATTTGTTACCTCAAGCTACGTGTTTGTCAAAATGGGTACTTTCGTGGTAGGGTTTGGTTTCTTCGGAGACCCCGTTTTTGCTCGTATTACTGCGTACTTGAATCGCAAATACCCAGGCTGGATCAAGCTTCTTGAGTTGCAAAAGTAAGTTCCTCAAGGAGCCGAACTGACTACCACTTTTTTGCTAATCATTTCGCCAGCTCCCTCCTAAAAGGAATCCCTACAAATGCCCAGCTAACTTTAACCCTCCTCCGTATCGGCGAAACAAATGCTGCCCCCTTACCGCCGCCACCTTCCGACGCACTACAAAAAGCGCCTTCTGCCCCTACATCGCTCAACCCCAGCCAAGTCAACTTGGATGCGTCAGAAGAAGAAATAGCCCAAGCAGTTGCACCAGACCCCGTAACCCAAGCACAAGAGGAAGAGGAAAAGTCCCAAGCAAACAAACGCAAGAAAACAATAGGCTCCCGCATTGTCGGCTTCTTCCGAGGAACAACTGCAACGGGCATCGAAAGCAAACTTGCAGTTGACCGGGTCCGGGCAGCTGCAGGATCCGAGCACGCTAAATCCCGACTTGGAATTCTCAGCAGGAAGGGCAAAAGGGCGTTGCCTTTGGGACCGGTCCAGTTTGACGCTCGCTACAAAGGCAGTCGAGGAGCTGTGGTGATTGACTCGGCTCGTGACCCGCCAGTGTTGTATTTTACGACAGATCCGGATGCCCTGTTAGGCGACCAGAGGCTTGAGAGTAGGGAAAAGGGAACCGTATCCTTCAGTATGCCCGTAACTGATATTAGGGAGTTGCGGAAGATTGGGGGATTTGGATGGAAGGGGAAACTGGCTGCCGGATGGGCGATGGGAAGTAAAGAGGTGGTTGATGGATTGGAGATTGTTGGGAAGGATCCAAAGAAACAACATTATCAACTTACTGCTATGAAGATGAGGAACCAGTTGTTCAATCGCTTGGTGGCGATTGATGGACAGGTTTGGGAAAGCTATTAATCAGTATAGAACATATGCTAAGATAGTCTCAGGTCTGGAAGTAATCGAAGAGCAAATGGGCTAATGGGCTTCGGAACTGCCCTGGGTATTCTGTGGACATGCGGTGGATCTGTATATGATAAATGTTTCATTGCTCTAATTATGTTTCTATAGCAAGTGCACTGCATCGGATAAAATACCATGAACGTCATATGAATTTCAACATCCTCCACGAAAAGATTTCATTACTGGTTTGTTTCCAGCTGATAGTCCCTAACGGCTTGTTCAAATGACGAGTCGCGCTTAAAGCCCAATGAGATGGCTTGCTTGTTGTCGAATCGCGTGGGCCATGACTCTAGGATTGGCCTGAGACTGGGATCCTCCTTCTCTTTCAACAACGCGAGTTTGTCCTGCCCTCCCACTTTTTCCAGAGCATCCATCATTTCCTGAATTGTAACGCAGATACCCGGTACATTGATCTGGCGGATATGGGGAGGAACCGCATCAGCCGGTAATGAGAGCATGAGGACTAGGTTATAGACGAGAGTGCGCGGAGAGCAAAGCCAGGATTTGAACGATCGGTCTTCAAGCGGAATGATGCACTCCTCTCCATTCAAAGGCTCCCGGATCATTCCCGAGAGGAACGAAGAGGCCGCAGCCGTGGGACGACCAGGTCGAACGGATATCGTTGGGAAGCGAAGGGTGAAACCAGTGATGAAGCCACGTCTTGTGTATTCGTTGATGAGCGTCTCACAGATGATCTTCTCGGCACCATAGGATGACTGGGGGGTGGGAATGATACTGTCATCCACCACTTCGGGAAGAGGCTGGCCGTAGACAGCCTGGCTGGAGGAGTATATCACCCGGACACCGGGACAGGTCTTGCGAAGCGCTTCCAGTAGGACACGAGTGGCGTCAACATTGACGCTCATGCCGAGATCGAAGTTGGCTTCAGAGCCGGACGACATGATACCGTGGAAGGCATAGACAGCGTCCAGAGACTTGTCCACGACAGTATCTGCACCTTTAAGGAGGTCTGCGGTGATACTGCGTGCATTTTGGGGGTATTTGACACCCTTCGGAATGGGTGGTTCGTTGATATCAGTCAATACCACTTGGTGAGAGGGGTCGTTGAGCAGCTCTTTTGCGAGCAATTGGCCGATGAAGCCTGCAGCGCCGGTGATAAGGATTTGCATAGTGATTTAATTTGTTCAAAAAAAACTTGAGAAAAGAGTGAACAAAATTGTACGTACCCAGGTTCGAGCGAATTGGTTCATATAGGGCAATGTCATCATTCGTCTTCGGTGGGGTTCGGACTGACCTCCACAGTCGCATCAAGTCCGAGGTTCAGGAACAGCTCTCTCCACAGCCGGACTTGCGCCGGGCTGTTAAAGACCGCAGTAAGGATCGAATTCCAGGAACTTCACGAACATTACCTTATCTTCATGACTTTGATGTGCAGCTAGTTTAGTGCTAGAGCTCCAAGTCGCAGATTTGCGTAGCTTCGCGCTCGTGCGCACACAGTGTAACAAACCACCTGGGCACGCAGATTAGCATCCACCCAAGTGAGGAACGGAGAAAAGACAAATAATAATCTACCAAAAATGTGGTTCGACAAGACTTTACTAAAGAAATTGACCCTAACGATTGATTGTTCTATGAGTATTTGACCACTGGGCATGTTAACGGTTCCTTTCCCCGGACTTTCCCCAGATTTAGCTGCCCCATATGTCAACTTTGTAGTATTCTTGGCTAGAAAAGACTGCAGAGCCATACTACCAATCTAGTCGCATTACAGCTGGAAGTCAATAGAGATCCCGGACTCGTTCATGGAATATGTCAAGAAGAAGATTGTCATTTCTGATAAGAATGAGAAGCAATGGGAGATCGAGCGCCCCCACGCGCACTTCGAAGCGGGGTATCCAAACTCGCTTTCTCCCACGGGAAACAGTCACTCCACTTTTCCTCCTTTTCTTATCTTCAGGGGGGTTGGGCTTTGCACATTACGGCGTATTTTGGCTCCAATTTCTAGATGTATCTCGTTGGACATCCAATTGAATCATGAATATACGATTAGCGACAATTCCACCTTACAATAATTAGCACAATCGCTCCTTTCCCGCCGATCTCAGTCGTCGTTCGCATGCCGACTGCATAATGCCGGAGCATCCCCGACCAGTCCTGTTCACTCTTAGTCACAACTACCAATTTACCATTTATCAGCTATGAAGCGCTCGTCCTCTGATGCGGGCCTGGTGTCGCCCCGACGAGAAGATCGCCATCCCTCCACTGTCCCCGACGGACGACCTCCACCACCAAAGATCTCCAAAGCCCGCGCCTGTGAGTGTTCCCGTTGAACCACCGAAGGGACGATCTATAATGAGACAAAGCGGAAAAGTCGCTTGAGGCCTAGGGAGAGGGGATGCATACTAAAACACAATGGATTTCAGGTGCGGAGTGCAAACGTCATAAGATACGCTGCGAGTTCAAATCGGGGGAAACGAGCTGCAATAAGTGCATACGCAGCGGCATAAAATGTGTCGTCAATGACTTCTCGCAGAAGTTTGTTGACGATGATGGCATGTGAGTCGATTTCACGCCTAGAAAACGATGTATTGCTGAGTTCTTGTTCTTATCTTTGCGTCAGATGGAAATCCCAGGCTGCAGCCACCATCCAGCAGCTCCAGGCAGCGGTTTCGCATCTCCTTCGCCATGATGGGCTACCCGAGCTTTCATCGTATGCAACAGGCGATACGCAAAATGGTCCAAGTCCTGTCGCGTCCCACCATGAACATAGGTCCTCGCTCGATGGGTCGCAGTCGATCTCTAATCATACGAGTCAACACGGCCCGGGTGTCATTATGGATGTAACTCGGGAGCCTTCCCAAGAGCCAGATCTACAAGACCGAGAATTGGTGCCGGCACCAATGCGTAGTCTTTATGAAGTCACTAAGCTGCGTAACTTACGGAGCAACCTCATCGAACAACCTAAATTAACCTTGCTAGAGGAAGACTTCATCTCACGGGGAGTCCTCTCTATTCATGAGGCTGAAGAACTGTTTGCATATTTTAGTCGGACCATGAATCAGCTCCTTTGGGGAGGGATCATCTTGGTGCACCGGGACCTCACGTCAGTGCGACGAGCATCGACTTTGTTGTCTGCGGCAGTCCTCACTGTCGCTGCACTTCATATCCCCAATCGTACTGAAACTCTAAACCGATGCTACCATGAATATGTATCTCTTGTATCCAGCATGTCCCTGACGCGGGCTCACACGTTAGATGATGTTCGTGGCCTCTGTGTGGGAGCATTTTGGCTATCAGAATTGAGCTGGAAGCTCTCTGGACACGCCGTTCGTATTGCCACGGAGCTTGGTTTGCATCAGAGCTATCAAAAAATGATCCGGGGCCATAGTGACCAGTACGAGCGCGCGCAGCTCTGGTATCTACTCTATGTCTGCGACCATCATTTTAGTATTGCGTATGGCCGACCTCCGGTCATACATGAGGATGCAGCCATCAAGAACTACGAAACCTTCCTGCAATCTCCCATGGTTGTACCTGGTGATATCCGACTGCTGGCACAGGTGGCTTTGTTCATGATCCTGACAGAGGCGTATCGGATGTTTGGGAGCGACACCGAGCAGGCTTTGACCGAGGAAGACTTCGGCCAATTACGAGTCTACAATGTGGCGGTTGATCAATGGCGGCTTCTTTGGCAGCCGCGATCAGGTAAGTTATGTCAAACTCCCATCATCAAGACGCCAATATCTGACCACCACTTGTACTTCAGCCGATAGCCCTTACGTACGGACGTACCCTTCGAAGGGAGTTGTGCTGCACTATCATTTTGCCAAATTCCAACTAAACTCGCTCTCCCTTCGTGCCCTGTCGCCGTCCAACACACCCGTTTTCTCCATGGACCGCAAAGAGTCCGCTAATATCGCTATCTCGTCCGCCATGGCCTGTCTAAATATGGTGCTGGAAGAGCCGGACATTCGAGACGCCATCGTGGGCGTTCCCATTTTTACGCATACGATGGTCACTTTTTCAGCAGTGTTCCTTCTAAAGGTCGCGGTCAACTGGAATTCGGCCTATCTGAGCCTGGATGGACGCGAGGTGCGACGGTTAGTGGAACGCGTCATCGAGCTGTTGAACTGTGTTTCTGCAGGAGAGAGGCATCTGACGCGGCATATTGCGCGTGGCTTGGGGAAGATGCTGGATCGCTTTGATTCCTGGGAGACGGCGTGGCAAGGTGGACCGCCAGTGGGAGGACCGGCGGATCGAAGTAGTAGTGAAGTCCCAGGCGGTGCGAATGCCATGGCACAAGGATTCCCCCCACCAGATCTGATCTATGACATGGTGGGCACATACGGATTTGGACTGGATGAAAATTTGCTGGACCCAAGCATGGCCAACTTTGAGTTTTTGGCGCATTGATAGAGTAGTCTGTGGATAGTTGATACCCTGGGTAGAGGGAAACGTACATAGCTATATACTAATGTATCCGTATATACTCCTGCTAGGCGTGCTCCTTCTTAGCTCGTGGTATTATGCTTTGTCAGGACTGGGATAACTAGTCTGTGTTTATTTGTTGATGCGCGCGAATCATCCGGGGGAATTCATAAATAGTAGCAATTTCATCCGTGCACCAGACACTGTGCCCGAAGGGGACTAGCTCCGGAGGTGCCATGTTTGGGGTTAGTCCATTTTGAGCATGAGAAGAAATTCAATTCCTGACATCATGGTTGCTATCGCGGCTAATGCGACCATATTGCCACGGGCTGGATGCTCCGAACACACTCGGTACCTGTAATACTAGTATGTCACCGGCCAACAGTTCGGTTCATCTGGACATGGATTGCGTGGTTACAGTATCACATTACGAAACATTCCTCACTTTGCCCTTTCGATTGATATTGATCCGTCATCTTACCGTCACTTTTGCAACAGACTGACTCCGTCTTACTCCAGATTCCCTTGGTCTTTAGTTCGCGAACAAAGCCCAAGGGTCCCTGGAGCTGCAGGGGTCCGTTGAGATGTCGACTCCGCCACAGGAACAAGGTCCAATCCTGTTTCAAACACCAGATCGGTGGAGCTCTCGTCACAAGGGGTCATGTGTTATGCGCACCTCCGCGACGGCCTACAGCGACGGCCTACAGCGACGGCCTCCGATAATCTCCCATTGCGACAAATGCGGGAGCTCTCGCTCTCAGGTTCACTTTAACTCTGCTGGGCCTTTTGCCCAGGTCCAGGTTTCTGCTGACCGGAAGCTTTGGCTGCTTTCCCCCCCTCCTTCTTCTCACCCTCCTTTCCTCCAATCGCTGAAGTAAGAGGCCTACTGCTCACCCATTCCGTCCCTTCCCCCCCCTTCCCTCGCCGACTGAGGCTTTAATCTCCCTGTTGCTGCCGTGGGTAGTACTTGACTCCCCCATCTGCTCTGTCTTTTATTTCGCCCTCTCCCTCCCTCTCCTCCCATTTTCCTTTCTCTCCCTCTCTCCTACCTATCATCCTCCCCTTCTCGCTACCTTATTTCCTCTCGATTCTCACAGCGCAACAGCTGTGTTATCAGAATAGACACGCGCCATTGACTAGCCTTCTATCACAAATTCACATTTCATCTCTTCCATCCCATTTCCAATCTCCTTAGTTCCTAAGACATCATGTCCACCCGTAAGAGAAAGCAAGAAGCCGAAGAAGAGGAAGAGCTCCAGGCGCTCCCTAGCGATGAGAGCGAGGAGGAAGAAGAGTAAGTTGCACTGCGCTTCTATCCCTTCATCTATGCGCATCCGCGCATCCATCAACGCGCGTTCTCCTCACCATCCTTGTCATCCTGTCATCATTCAACTCTTTGTCGCCTTTGGTGCGCCGCATGGATATCCATCATCCCGTCTGTTTTGGATTTCTGTCCGTCGAACTGTCTGGCTTGGCGTATTAATCCTGTTGCCTGTGATGCCTTCGTTGTGTTTATCATATCTCTATCCCTGCATTGAGAGATAGCGTATCGACTAACGGTAGTGATGAACAGGTATGAGGACTCAGAAGTAGGCGAGAGCGAAGGAGAAGAAGAAGGAAGTGAAGAGGAGATTCCTTCCGATGAAGAAGAGGAAGAGGAAGAAGAAGAACCTGCTGAAGACCAAGGTAAGCGCATGTCTATTCCCTATCTCTCTGAATTACTCAACCTCCTTCCGATCTTCACCTTCCTACACCTAGATACACTATTCTCCAGAAAACACAAGCTGACATGCAGAATCTTTAGGCCCCCCTGCTCCCAAGAAACGCAAGACAGCAGCCGCTCCAGCTGAAGACGAAGAAGGTGAGGAAGAAGTAAAAGCAAACGGCAAAGAGGCTGGTGAAAACGGAGTCGGAGAGGACGACGAAGAAGAAGAGGAAGAAGATGAAGGTGAAGAAGAAGCGCCCGAGGAGACAGCCAAAACCAGTGGCCCTGCTTCCTCTGCAGCCAAGGCCAAGGGTGACACTGTTCCAAAGGAACCTGAAGTCGACACTGGAGTCGAAGAGGAGAACGAGTGAATGTCCCTTGGTTTGGGGAGCTGTAATCTTTACGTCAAATAATTTGGTTCCGGCTGTAATTGGACTTGGGTACGGTGTTGGCTAGCTTATATCTATTCAATGAAATTGGTCGGTCAATATTGCCGTCCTTCTATTATAAGATGCGCTCTTTAATATCTCTTCTATAATGGATTAAATGGCCGACAACTTAGCCTTCGAGGGTTCTAAATGTGCTCAACTAGACTTGCTCCCTTTGGGAACAGAAAAAATAGAACTTGTAAACCCCCAACTACCACGATTTTTCTTTCGTCGCCTATGGGCATGATTTAGGGCAATCTATGTGATACGAGGAGGCAAACAGCAGGGCGGGCGACTTAAAAGGCACCGGAAAAGAAAAGTCATACAGCATAAATTGGTTCTATGGGAATTAGTTCTCCAAACAGGGTGTCCGGCGTAAGGAAAATGAATGATAAAATAAAGACACAGAAGAAAAGGGGAAAGGGGGAGGCCACGTAAGAGGAAAGACATCAAAATAATCAATAACTATCCACCAACGATGCCTTGCCTGGATATGTAAATATAATTCCGCTAACTAAAGACTTCATTGTTGGTGGGTAGCTATCCACTAAGATATACGAATCATATTTAGCCATCGCTGCCGCTGCTACGGAAAGTGGCGCATAGTTGGCAATACTGATGGGTGAGGTCAAGTACGGGCTGTGGCAGATTAGTCGCCTGGACAATGCTGCGCACCTTGACGGCACCTTCGTCCTCGATGAGTTTGCGGATAAGATAGAGTAGTTCGGGAGAGAACTTGTGTTTGGTTAGTTGATGGCCTTCGGCGGAGTGTTATTGGAAATAAACATACCTCTGAGTACCAGCGGTACTGCCAGGCAATAAGTCGAATTAGTGCACCTAGCATCCCTCTCGTATCATGCTTACTCTCGTACAACTTCAGAATGCCTCGCATGGCCTTGGGAGAGAACCGGATGGCCATGCAGTGTTGGTAGGCCTCGATCGCCTCGTCGAAATGATGCAGTCGCTCTGCTAATTCGCCCAGGATTTCCCATTCCGTCGCAGACTTCTTGTATTCAATGGCCTGCTGACGGTACTGGGCCATCTCTGTGCGCCAGATGGTGTAAATGCGAAGATCCTCGTAGAGAACCATGAAGAGATTGTCGAGCCACCTTTCACAGAGACGCTTGTTGCGGAACTCTGAGTATGACGAATGCGAAGGGTCGGGCTGTGGCGATTAGTATAAGATTACATGCTGCTGGCAGACGGCGTTTGTAACTTACTTCTTCCTTGCCAGACTTCACGACCTCGGAGGCCATCGTCTGTTCTGGCTTCTCGATAGAGGCTCCTGCTTGCTCCTCTTTGTTTTCGCTGGGGCCGGCTTCCGGATTCTCATCCTCTTCATCAGCATTGGTGCCATTTTGTTGTTCTTCGTTACCATTGGTCGCTATAGAACTGCTGCGCCGTATAGACTTGGAGGTTGAATGCTGCCTTTCGACCCGATACTCCTCTTCCATAACAAACACTTCACTGCGAATCTTCAGAAGCTGATCCCAGCCAATCGCGGCAGCAATTTTGGTTAACAGGTTATATGCTTTCAGGAATGTCCCCTGGTATGCGGAAGCGTGCAGTCTTCGTAGAGAAGGATGGACATAGTCGTGTGGGTCCCCCTGCTTTGGTTGGCCCTCATCGATCTCATCCAACATGCTCTCGGCGAGGATAGGAAGCATAATACGTGACGGTTGGGGCATGCGAGGAGTGTCTTTATCCTGGTACGTAAACATCGGGCATGAATTCAATGTAAGGAGTGCGAGGTCCCATTGTTCCAAGTTCACATACACTTCGGCCAGTCGTGCCCAAGTGCTGAACTCGCTAGGCGCAGCAGTCACAGCCCGCTTCGCGCATTCCAAAGCCATTTCCCCCTCTCCCTTACTCTGGCAGAAGGCTGCCTGGCAGTCGAGCAATGCATAGTCCATGGGGACGTCCTGCAGTGAGTCGTACATCAACCGTACTGCTTGCACCTCCTCATCTGCCATTATGAGAACCCGGGCTAGCAGGGAAGAGACCTCAACATCCCGTATGCGGAGCTTTTCTAGAAGATTTATGCCAGATGTGTAGCGTCCCGTTGTCCGAATATATTTCAAAAGGCCCGCAGTAAGATGATTGCTGACGGTGTTGGGAACTTGTGTCTCAGGATCGGAGCTCAGTTGCCTACCTATTATTGCATTGTTAGTATAAGCGTGCATCAAAATCATCGTGCACCATACCCAAGAAGAAAAGCCGTTCCGCAGCATCCATGAACTTGTGCTCCATCTCTGTATTTGTGACTGGGTTGAATCGACGCACTCCGACAATCTTTCGAATCGAATCTCCGCTACCGTCGTCTGCATAGGTATAGGCTCGCAAGACTCCGCACAGAAATGTCTCTAACCACAGAGCTTCAGTTGCAACACGTTTGTCCCCGCGTTCGTCGATACAGTAGCTCTCGAGACTACCGGGAATTTTGACTTCCACACGCATATCAAGGTGGGAGAAGGCATTGTAGCAACTGTAAATCTGTTAACCCCTCTAACTGTATGGAAGTCATTTTTGCAAGTGCCCTGACCAGTATATCCCTGAAACCACCTTGTGCGTCTTATCGAGGGGGGAGAAGGTTAGCGTATTTACATAGGCGGCCAAGCTAGCGGACGATGAAGCATCAATGCCAGTGACATGGTGATAGACTCCGGTCTGTGAGAATTGTCTTCCGTTAATAATTGTCATCACTCAACCTCCGAGAAAAGCCGTTCCTTGAATGAGCGACCGGAGACTCCCAGAAACGCACCTGACGGGTCGAGTTGGTCTTGGGTTGTTTGACCAAATACACCAGGTCTGGCGGACCTAATTCGCGCAAGTTCTGTAGGGATTCGGTACGTGCATCGACAGCGGCGAAGAGGTCTTCCTCTTCGTAGAGTCTGACAGCGATTTCAAGGGTCAGCGCCGAAGTCAATGGTGGCCCGAATGCAGTTGATAACAGGTCTCAGGAACACACAAAGCGAGGGGAAATGCATACTCTGGGACAGCTGGCGCAACCATGGCGCATGGAAAAGCGCAGGCCGAACTTAAATCAAGAGAAAAAGCAGAAAGCACCAAGTACTACAACGGACTCATCAATCGTGCTTGAAGGACAGATGGCGCAGGAACAAACAAGTCGTCGTCACCTTAGTTGATTAGTGCCTGGGGGTGGACGGGCTGGGTCCTCAGGCACCGGTCTATTCCTCTTTGGGTAATTCAATGTCGGAACGCGTGAAATGCGTGTCCCCAGTCACGGGCTAGACCCGGACAGCTTGGATTCTATCCTGCTTTACCTTTTCCTCCCCACGGCTTAGTCTTATCAAATATAGGGACTGGCTTCCCTTTTCGGGAGATGCTGTCGAGACTGTTACCGATGTCTGGATTCTCCCTGCAGCCTGAATAAACTGCAACATGTCAAGCTGGGCCGCATTGAACATCGAGCCCGCCGAGGCGGTAGAAGAAGAGGTTGATGACACTAAGGAAATCCAAATTGAGGAAGCTCTCAAGCTATACCAAAATGCCCTGAAGCTTCACTCACAGGGTCCCCACTTCTACGCTCAAGCGGCGGAAGCATATGATGCTCTTCTTAGTTCGGAAATATTCAAGTACCCGGAGTCTCTCTCCGACTACAAAAGAGCTGCAACCGAGCTTGAATTGACGGAAACATCCGACTATGTTGGTAATACAGACGGTGGTGGACCGCTAGCAGACTACGATATCAATGATTCCACATCCAGTACTTTGCTGCAGACCATCTATCTTGCGTATAAAAACCACGGGCAGTTCGTACTAGATTCTTTGCGCGCCATTATAGAGAATGCTGCCCAGGCGTCAGACGCCACTCAAGATCTCTCGGCTGAAATTGCTGAGCGTGCGAACACTGCCCTGACGTCCTTCGCTGAAGCCCTGGAACGTGATGACACAGACCTTAACCTTTGGAGACAAAGCGCCAGGCTCTGCAGTACTTTACAAAGCTATCGCTTAGCCCGCTACTGCTTGGAAAGTGTCCTGGCAGATGATGAAAATCGCCTGGAGGTCCGAACGGAACAGCTAGGCTTGGAGGAAACTTTTGCAGAAGAGCGTCTTCGGGAAACGTTGCTGTCGCTGCAAGATAGAATTTCGGTTTGCCAAGTCCCGATTAAGAAACCCAAGAAAGCCCTTCTCAAATTTCTCAAGCGCCAAAGTGACCCTTACCCGTATCTGCCTGGATTACCCAACAACCTTCAGGATGTCCTTCCGTCGAAAAGCCCCCTAGCTTTAAGCGCCACACGACATGATCTGAAGCCTCTTTCACCAACATGGGCCGATCTTGGCAAGACCATCCTTCAAGCGTTAACGGATGAGGAGCAGGGCACTGTTGGTGTAAGCCCTGGTACTGCAGTCTGCGTTTCAATACCAGCTCTTAGCCCCGAGCTGAAAGCTACGGCGACCAAAGAAACACAGATTCAAGATCAGCCATTAAAGGCACAGGATGAAGAGGTTCAAAGTAGCCAGAAGCAAGCCATCCACATGTCGGGGGAAGATAGCAACATAGACGTTCATCCATCTGTGAAACATGAAGCGCTGGACTCAACTGCAGAACACGCGGATGACCACTCATCTATTGATCAACGGGCCGAAAAGCAACTTATAGAATCATTGGAGATCCAGACGTCACAATCCCCCGAGATATCTAATCAACAGGAAACGCCGAATGCCGACGATCCTGACCCTAAATCATCGACCAATGGGGCACGAAAGCGATCTTCTGCATCAGCCGTCGCCGAGGATCAGACTGAAAGCGTTCGATCCAAGAGCAGAAGGACCCGTCTGCGAGAGTCACACGCAGAGGCTTCATTACAAGCTGATGAAGTCTCGTTTGACCATAACAAATACTATGAAGACCGCCTAGAGGCTTTCATTAGAGCGGACGAATGGGTGTTCGGTACGGTTGAGTCTCTGTTGACCAAGTTCGGGATTGAAGACTTAGGGTCAGTTGATGAGCTGAGGAAACAAATTTCCCCTACTACCGATGGGAAAGACCTTCCAGATAGTGAAATCAATGGGAAGGCTGAGTACATACTGCCTCGAGATTTGAGACACATTATGACGGGTTGGGATGAAGGGAAGTCTCAGGCGACACTCCAATGTGATAATGTTGCAGCACTTCAAGACATTCAAGGTATGGGCAAGTCTGGGCTGGCTATCTTCCTAGAGCACTCTAGGAAGTCTGCTCGGAAGCTAGGGATGAAGCAAGTTCTCTCCGGTACTGAGGAACTACTCATGCTCATGAATACCATTAATGAAGGATGGTTTCACCTCCGTGAAGCCGCTTTGGAGTGGCTCAAATGCCTTCTCATGCCAGATTACGGGTGTGTTTCTACGGAGGATGGCGTATCTGGCACTTCAAACTTCCCTAACATGAATTCCACATACACTTTATTCCAGTGGCCAGATGCACTGAAAGAGACGGTGGTGCAAATATTGATACAAGAGGATGAAAACATATACAAGGGAATGAGCGAACACGTTGAGACTCTTGAACGCCGAATCCTTGCTGCTAGCGCTAACACGCCGTTTGAATACACCACGAATCATTTCGCATATCTCGAGATGATTCAAGCCATGTTTGAGCTCCATCTTGATATATACGCCTCCATTAACAACCCAAACAGTGAAATTGATCAAGGAATCAGGGTACAACAAAAAGATCGTTTAGCACGGTGGAGCTTACTAGCGCGTACCTCACTGATTCACTTCATGGATTACTCTACACCCGGCAGTTATCAGGATAATATCGTTCTTCGCCATATCTGGGCATCCACATTCCATTCGAACATGACAACGGACGCCGAGCGGGAACACGTATTACTTTGCCTTCAGGAGCTGAAGCGCTTGCTTAGTCGCTTGAAGGAGCCAGTGATAAGCCTAGTGAACAACGCAATTATGCCGGAAATATCGATTGAGGCCGTTGATCAAGAGATTTCGAAGCTGGAGTCTATGGACTTCTTCATGAGAATCTTTAACACTGAATCAGAAGACCCTGTGGGACTCATCGAAACCATAGAACCTATCCTGGAACCTGGTTCGGTCCAGTTTGTTGAAGAAAACACCTCAGAGGAACAGGGTCATTCTCTACCGACGTCACAGCTTCACGAAATGGGCTCTTTCTTAGATCGAGGAGATGCTACTTTGAGGCTTTTCCTATGGAAGAGGCTACAAGACGCGTACAAGAAGATCGACTACGCACCGAAAGTTGTGTCATGCTACCTGCGGAGTATTGAAACTATTGTGAGAGAGCTTTGGAACCCTGCACATCTAGAAGAGCCTAGTGAGCACCGCCAAATTACTTTGCTCCGTTGGTTAAAATCTCTCGATGGAATATTGAATAAGACCGTAACAGCAGTTTTACAGGAGCCAGCCAAAGCATACGAATGTTTTGATATGGATCACATCAAGTCATCGCTATCTGCAGTGACACTAGTATTGAAACTACTTCATAGTTTTGTGCTTTATGAAGATTCGGTTCGTGTGGGCCAGATATCTGGCTCCGACGTACGCGGAGCGTTGGCAAAGTCATTGGAAAGCTTCAGAGATAAGCTGCGGGATATGCACGTCCGTTGTTGGATCCTCCATTATACCCTTTTGAGAGAAGCTATTGCGCAGAACCCAGAGCTCTTCGAGACGCCCCTCGAGGACCGCATTCTTTACTTGCGCTCTGTGCACAATGCTTTAGGCATCAGGAAGATGTGCAAACGTTCCCATAAGCAGTTTCTTAAGCTTGTCAAATCCGAGATTTTCTCTTTGGATGACAAATCGGACTATGAGTATGATATTTGTCAACTGCTTTACGACATACACGGTATCAAATTGTCACCGGTTGATGGTTATCTGGAGGACCATGGCTGTCCACCGGAGAAATTGGATCGCTCGACAGCTATTCTGATGATTGACTTTGTCATGAAGCAGGCGAAGAAAATGAACATCAGGGATCTGTCAAAATCTGACTTGAAGTACACCATTGAAAAGATGCAACAGGCCATCGGCACCACAAAATCATCACCTCCACTATCCTACAATAAGCGCATTCTGACAGCTTACTTAAAATCTCCGTTAAACCCAACTGAAATCTTCCGTGCCGTTCGGGGAGTTGAAGATCTTGCGTTGCTCCCGGTGCCCACCGAGAGTGCGGTCATTGCGAAGAATGGGTGGTACTTCCTGTTGGGACATGCTGCGCTGACCAAATTCCGCTCCCAGAAGCGTCTTAACCCCATTCCAACCACTGACCTTGACGAAGCTATCACATGGTTCAGACAGGATTTGGAACACAACACTCAAAGATGGGAATCATGGTATCGACTTGCCCAGACTTATGATTCGAAGCTGGAGGAGGACATAACGTGGTCTGCAGACAAGATTAATAATAACCGGACAGAGTTGGTGACTTGGCAACGCTATGCAATCCATTGCTATGCTATGGCCGTTGCAACGGCAGCAAGAAACGCCGATCCTACGCCAGAGACTCGAGCACTTATATCCGACCTCTACACTGACTTTGGAATTCGTCT